GGCATATGTGTAAAAGTTAGAAAACAAGTGTGAGTTCTCCCCCTTTCCACCTTGCTTAAGATAGGGTCTCTAGGGCTAACTGGCCTATGAGCTTCCAGGTATTCTCCGTGTCCACCTCCCATCTCCCCATAGGGTTGCACGTGGATCATAAATGCTAATGGTACTTCATCTGGTTTTCTCTGCTCTAAACTCAGGCTGTTAAGTGTGTATAGCAAGCACTTTTGCCCACTGAACCATTTCTGCAGCCCCAGAAACACATTCTCACTTAGACATCCTGGAATCCCAGATCCTAGTGATCTTTTCCTCAGCTTCTCAACTCATAAATTAAAGATGCTTGCTCAGGTGATTTGCAGATGTGACTGATACATTCTGTAACTCAATACATCCACAAATAGAAGGAGGCAAAGCTCCCACATTTGACCTGGTCAAAGGTAGGTAATCTGTTTGCAATGTGGGAATATTTACTGACATTAAAAAGAAATGAGTGCTGCATACATTGAAGAACACACAGCATTATTATGCATTTATGCAAATTCTACTAATTAGCATGAGCAAACAAGAAATACATGTCCAGGGAAAAGACTACCATTTGTTTTCTCTCAGTAGTATATGTTAATGATCAAAATAAGATTTTCAAATTGCCCTGTATCTTTCTTACAAGGTTAAAATTATAATTTGGAGAGTTTTAAACAGCTTGATCTGTGTAGCTGCTGGTAGGCTGCCAGGAAACCCAGTTCAGCTCAATACTATCTAGTGATTTAGGCCTTGATGGTAGACATTGGTTACCCAGTATGTGTGCGGAGGGGGAGTACTTGAATGAACAAAAAGAGAAGTGTGGGTGTCATTTCCTTTATGTTGCAAATAATAATGTTGTTCAAATTCAGATGTACAAACTCTTAAGGAAAGAGTAATGTCTGTCTTCAATGGTAACTGGACATCTTTGATCATTTTGTTATTAATTTTGCTTGGAAGAGATGAAGAATGTGTACAGTATCAATAATAAAACCCATGCTTGTAGTTAGCAGAGTTTCTTACTTGTCAACACCTGCAGGGGGTTCCTTTGAAGAAGGAATGCATTTACATTGCGTGGGTTGATTGGAGGATGACTTTATTTGCTACTTTTTTGATGCTGTGATGAAGCAACATAATGAAAAGCGACTTGGGAAGGAGGATTGTTAAAAATAAACAAAGTGTTTTTGTTTATTATTAGCTTACAGTTTCAGAGGTATAGAATTCATTATGTTGGAAAAGGCATGACAGAAAGGTTGCTGTTAAAATTTCCATCCGTACAAATGAAACTAAGAGAGAATAAGCAAGGCAGTGGTGAGGCAGGAAGTGAAATAAAATTATATCTAGTCAAAGCTCAGTCCCACTGACATACATCTTCCACAAGGTGCCACCTCTTAAAAGTTCCTTAGCCCCTGGCCCCCAAATAGCACCAGCAACTAGGGAGCAAATGATGAAGTACATGTGACTGTGGAATGTATTTCTCATTCAAATTACAACAATAACTAAGACCAAGATGTAGATATCTCAGAAAAGAGTTCATGGTTTTATTCAAAGTCAATCTTTTTAGTATTGTGAGTTGGCTTTAGTTGAAAAGGCCTGTGCCAAACCTCTTTAAGATTAAGCCAATGTTGGACATTGTCTTAGGGTTGCTATTGGAAAACACTATAACCAAAATCAATCTAGAGAGGAAAGGGCTTATTTCACTTTCCAACATTTAGTCCATCTTCCAGGGAAGTCAGGGTACAAACTCAAAGCAGGAACTCAGAGGTAGGAACTGATGTAGAGCCCATGGAGCAGTGCTGCTTAATGGCTGAATCACCAAGACTTATTCAACTTTCTTTGCTATATTCCTTACATCATCTGCCACAATAAACTGGACCTACAACATCAGTCACTAATTAAGAAAATGTACCACAGACCTGCCTACACACATATCTGGTGGGGACATTGTCTCAACTGAGATTCCCTCTTCCCAAATGACTCTAGTTTGTGTCAACTTGACATAAAACTAGCTAGCACAGATAGCCACTTGTTAAAATGCAGCAAAAAAAAAAAAAAAAAACCATGGTGTTAATCACTTGGAAACTATGAAGGCACCTATTAAGTGAGAAATAATGCAATCCTGTTCCTATCAGTGGCATAAAGCAAACTGTGTGGGAACTGATTCTTTTACTTGTGTGTCAATTCCATACTTCAGACAGGTATGTCTGTAGGAAAAATATCTCCAACAAAAAGGTCAGAGCAAACATATGAATTACCAACTTATTGTGGTTGTGGTGACAACATTATTTATATATAAATGATAACCTACATTTATTACAGCTCTTCTTGTTGATAAATTAGAGAAAACTCATTGAAGTCTCCCTTATTGGAAAGAGCTATCAGCCTCAAAGGAGATGAGAAAGGGTGATGTATTAATCCTGTGGCTTAAGAACAGTCATCCATTGTTTGGCTACAGAATAATCACTTTATCATATATACTATGGTCTTATCAAGACCTAAGCAAAGGACATTATAAAAAATGAATAAACTTCCCACTTTAAGAGATAACATTTAATTATTTGAGAATTTCTTGTATGAGTACACTCTTCCCTTTTACCCCTCAGTTCCTCCCATTGTCCACTTCGACAACCCGTCCTCAAATTTATGAATTATTTTATATAATAATAATTATTACACACACATGTGTAAATAGGAACTATTGAGTTCAGTTAATGCTGCCCATAGGTATATAGGTTTAAGGCTGACTACTTAGAGTTGGGCAACCTAACAGGGGCTTATCTCTGAAGAAAACTGATTAACATTTTCTCAGCAGCCATTGACTGTTTATATCTCTTCATCTAATAGTGGGACCTCATGAACTTTTCATCTGACCATGCTGGCATGTTGACTGGTGTTGTCTTGTGTGGATCTTGTGCAGGAAGCTATATTTTGAAAGTTCATGGTAGCAACATCCCTGTTGGGTCCAGAAGAAACTTTCTCATCACAGTCCTCCTGAACTCCTGGCTCTTAAGATCTTTCCATCCCCTCTTTGATATTCTTGAGCCTTAGGTGTAGAGGTTATGTTATAGATGACTTATTTGGAGTTCAGCACTCCATGGTTATTTATTCTTTGCAATTTGGGCAGATTTAGTTCCCTGTAATAACCTACAACTACTGCAAAGAAGATTCTTCAATGGGGATTTAGAGATTTACTTATCTGTGGGTATAAGGATGAGTATTAAGAAAGAGTTGGGCATGATATCCATTTAGCAAAATGGTAGTAGTAGGTTTTCCTGGGATCTATGTCCAATCCAGCCGTGTTTTTTGGCTAACTAGATTTATAGTAACAGGCATGGGTACACTCCTTCTGAGGGGGTCTTAAGTTCTATCAGACAGCTACTGGTTATCCCCAAGGTGTAGGAGCCTCTATGGCACTGTTAGTGATATTCTACCAGGCCAGTCATCACTTAGGTTCTCGATAGCTTTTCTCCCTTGACAGTTTGCAAAGCACATTTGGATAAAATGAGATCTAGCCCTCAGGGGAGAAGATTCCAGGTCAGTAACATCTTAATTTCTCCAGGTGTTGGAACCTAAGCATATGGTATTTTCAGCATGGGATCATATGTTCAAATCCAACCAAAAATCATTTGATTGTGTCCATAATAATCATGCCACTATTGTACTAGTGAGCATACAAGAGAATTTATAGATAGCACATCAGTGATCTATCTTGGATTGTGAAAATAAGGCATTGACTTTCCCTTTGTTTTATAGACTATGAGAAGAAATGAAATAAGAGAAATACATTATGACAGAGTTACAACTGGGGCTTATGTGTATATACTGATAAAGACACAAAGACAGCAAGATAACAGTTGGAGTGGTGTCAAGGAAGAAACAAAGGGCTACATATTGAAAGAGCAAAGGGCATAACAAAAGAAGACAGATATCTTTAAAAATCATTATCAGTACTTTCATTATTTGTTTATTTATCTGTTTATTTATTTTAAACATAATTTTAGTATAGCAATATAATTTGTATATTAAATAATATTATAATAGAATGAATTGACATCTTTTTGAAGAAAAGAGAAATAGAAAAATTCGGGTTATAAACTACTCTTATCAGAATGTATTTTATATATATATACTTTTTTCTGAGTGGTTGATGTGACACATATCCCCTGACTAGTCATGACTAGCTCAAATTGTGCTAATTAATGGTCAATTCAAAAAACAACATCTGCAATCACCATCTCAAAGGAATTACCTGTTAGATTTTTTTAAATACAGAATGGTTCTTTTTTTTTATTTTACAATACTATTTAGTTCTACATAACAGCCACAGATTCCCTTGTTCTCTCCCTTCCTGCCCCCCTCCCCTTCCTCCCAGCCCACCCCCCATTCCTTCCTCCTTCAGATCAAGGTCTCCCCCGAGGACTGGGATCTTCCTGATAGACCCAGTCCAGGCAGGTCCAGTCCCCTCCTCCCAGATTGAGCCAAGCATTCCTGCATAAGCCCCAGGTTTCAAACAGCCAACTCATGCAACGAGCCCAGGACCTGGTACCACTGCCTAGATGCCTCCCAAACAGATCAAGCCAATCAACTGTCTCACCTATTCAGAGGGCCTGATCCAGTTGGGGGCCCCTC